AGGCAAGTCTACATGGATTCTAGAGAACGGGACTTGGGTTGAGTCATATTTTGTGACTCACACAGAGTTTACTTGAAGTAGGGATTTACAGTTTTCTAGAACTGCTATACTCAGGAAGCCCAAAGTGTTTGCTCTGTAACCCTGGGAAGTTTCATGTGGCCTTTCCCATGCTTTCACACACTGTTTGACCCACTGCTTGTCCCCATGAAGTGGTTGTGGCACTAGTAGGAAGCCCTCTTTTATTTGGGATCATATGCTTAGTTTGATCCTGTCAGCACTATTTCGTCTTACCTTAAATAAGGATTTCTTTTTTTAAAAATTGGGCCTTCAGTGAAGCTACCAGCTTCACAGTGCTGCATAGTGATTTGTGGGTGTTGAGGAGAGTGGTGTGCTGCAAGAGAGGAAGGTGGTTTTACTGGAAGGGCACTGATGCTAGAGGCCTCATCATGATTAGATCTCCTGGTGAAACGTCCAGTGGTCACATTAGTTCAGTGTGATCCAGGAATTCAGGAAAGATGACAGGAGAAAGAAAGAAAAATTAAACTCAGTTACCATCAGTAGCTCTTCATTTATTCGATTATGTGTCCTGCTGATTAATATGCAAAATATTTAATAAGACATTTATTATTATTATTCAAAGCCTACTGCTTAATTACTATCTTCTCTTATTCCCTAGCATACACTTTGTGTAACACCTCAGTCCCTGAGCCCACCTAGGGAAATATTTCAGTATGCATGGGAAAGTCTGAGAAAAACCAACAGAGATGATGGGGTAATGACACTTTGCTTGCTTCCAAATTAAGATGGCAGCATTATGATCGTATAACCATCTGAGAAGAACAGACAGCCTTGGGTTTCCATGCTTTTCTTTACGTATCTGTGACAAACCTTAATGCTCTCTTTGATACATTCCCATATTTCATGTTTCTTCTACAATGTCTAGAGCAGAAGGTAAATCTGATGTTCTATGTAGTCTACATTTCATTATTCATGACGATGATAATCAGAGTAAGTAATGCTAGCTACTAGAAAAAAAATCTGCACACAGTGGTTCAACACAGGTAGGTTTACTTTTCATTCACACAATAGCCAAATTAAAATTCAGGGGGTGGTAGGAATAGCTTAGTTCCTTGAAGTCAGTCTAGGATTTAACCCCTTCCCATATTACTAATTGCACTGTCAGTGTCAATGTGCTCAGTAATGTTGCAAGGTTGCTAAGGAATAGGAAAGAGAGTTAAGGCTTACTTGGTTTTAGTTGTCTTGATCTAGAGTGGAAATTACTTTGGTTGAAATTCCATTGAACTAGTCACACGCTGTTACCTAGATACAAGAGGAATGGACAGAACAGTTTAGTTTTGTGCCCAGGGAGGGAAATTGACATTTGGTAAGCAGTTGCATTACTGTTGAAATGCCTAGGATGCACCTGTTACTCTGTGAGCACTTAAAAATGTTCACTGAACAACAGTGAATGGATGAGTCTGTAGGCTTCTGCTGTTGTGTTTTCTTAGAGGTAAACAGGAAGGAAATAATTCTAGGGAAAGCAGATATTCATCTGCCATACCTGTGATAGTCATGTGATAATTTGTATTTGTGAAGTTATTTCATAAGGGCCATGATCTTTTGAAGATACGTTTTAGTTATTCAATGAATATTCCAGTGCTTTCTATGTATCAGGTGCTGTGGTATGTTGCCCAGAAGATAGGGTACAATTCATAATTTTTCAAACTGGTAGCTCACCTAGAATGCGTTTTGTGGGAAGAGAGAAAATAAGTCAATGATTACTAATATTTTGTGGGTGCCATAATAGGAAAATAAGTGAACTGTTGTGGGAATATTGAAAAAGGACACATGATTCAGTCAAAGATGGACATTACAGGAGTTCATTGGCCAGATTAGTGAAACTTGAGTTTACTAGGTGATACCAATAAGAGAGAGGTAAAGGGCTGGGTATATGCAAATCTGACAATTTAGAGAACTCTAGGAGGTTAAATCTATGGCAGTGGATGATAAGGGATGCAGGGATAGGCCTGGACTGAGTCATGAAATGCTTACAAACTGTATTAGATGAGAAAGAATGAATAGAGATGATGAGGAATAGGGAATGATGAGGCAAACCTCTATTGACACATAATAAAAATCTAAACAAGAGTTGTGCCATCTACATCTATCCAAATCCATTTTTCATCTGAAGGTCTGCCTCAACTAAATAACCAGTAATAATAAGGAAGCAGACTAAAGGCCTGCTCAGTGTTACAATAACAAACCTTTCATGGGAAGAGGTTAAACACAAGAGTCCACACAAAAGTTTAATAACCTCCATCCATCTCCACACAATCTTGCCTTTGAGAGTGGAAAAGCAATAAGTCCTTTGTGAAACAAAACAATGGAAGTGATTCATGATTTTGCAAGAATTCTATTTATCCATGGAATAGATGCGTCTAAGAAAGTGTTTTCAGGGGGACTATTGGAGAAAACCCAGAAGCAACAACAATGACAACAAAACAGAAGCAAGTTCTGCATCAGAAGATGTTAAAATTGTTCAGTCAGGGGACTACCCAGTATTCATCCCAGTTCAGTTGCTGCCTGTTGCAGTCACGCATGTACTCCATGGCTGTGAATGACACATTTGTATCCTGAACTATATCACGTGTTTCAGGAAGGTAAAGGATAGGTAAACATATGCTCTTGTCCTTAAGAAGTTACAGCTGCCACCTGGATCTAGATGTTTCTAACCAAAGATGTACCCTATTATATATATATATATATATGTATATATATATATTTGTATTTAAATTAGAAACATGAATGCTTCACATGTCAATCCAGCTCCCTCTCCCACCCCTCCTCCCTTGTCCCTCCACCAACACTATTCCCCAGTCCCCAGCGCAATCCCCACATCATTCCCCAGGGTGAGGGCCCCCTTGGGGGGGATCTCCAGAGTCTGTCATTTCATCCAGGGCAGGACCCAGGCCCTTCCCCATGTGTCCAGGCTGAGAGAGCATCCCTCCATGTGGAATGGGCTCCCAAAGTTCATTTGTATGCCATGGTGAACCCTAATCTACTACCTAAGACCCCAGAGATTTCTGAGGCCTCCTCACTGACACTACATTTGTGGACTCTGGATCAGTCCCCTGTTGGCCTCTCAGCCATCAGTCTGGGTTCCAAGAGCTCCCTTTTGTCAGGTCAGCTGTCTCTGTGGGTTTCACCAGCACAGTCTTGACCCCTTTGCTCATCACTCCTCCATCTCTGTCACTGGGTTTCAGAAGTTCAGTTCAGTGTTTAGCTGTCGGTATCTGTCTGTGCTTCCATCAGTCACTGGATGAAGGTTCTAGGATGGCGTATAAGGTAGTCATCAACCTCATCATCAGGGAGGATGTACCCTATTTAAGGACTAAAATACATACACATAATATGTATACACTCATGGACATACACGTGTGTTAGCCTTCAAGTCAAAAGTCCAGATTAATTATCCATACTTGGTCCATAGGTAACCGGTTGACATGTAATTTTCATTGTAAGATGGAAACACTTTCAGCTACACCACAATTGCCAAGACTAGATGACTCTCTGGAGCTTCGTGTAAACAAACAGAACTGCACACAGATGGGAAACTACTGAAGGTGGGTGCTCTCCAGCAGTGCTTAGCAAAGTGTCCACGGATGGTAACTGATAGTTCCTAAGACGAGTTCTGTGATTAAATTTGGAAAATGCCAGTTTAGCAAAATAGAACATGGTTCTTAGGTTGTTCAGATGCAAATAGGCACTGTGAATCCCAAGGGAAGCAGCTGAACTGTCTCTTTTCTAAATTACACTGCTCTTAGAACAATTTAACCTCTCCAGGGCCAGTATCTCCAGGGTCGTGAGGCTCACGGGACTCACTTTGAAAAAAATAAATATAATTTTACTTTTTAGTAATCTGGAAGCCTCATCACAAATTCTGTAAATGTATGTGGTAATTGCCCCTGCATTGAGATACTTACCATGGGACGTATAAAAGGAAAGGAACTCTTAAGCATAGAGGGGAATTTCTCCATGAAATTGGGGGATAGGTGGTATCATCATGGACACAGTTAATATTAATATTGGTATTAATATTAGTATTAACACTAACAAGGCAGTAGAAGATACAAAGCAGCAAAAGCGAAGAAACTTGAACTGAATCTGAAGAATTTTGTATAATTACACTTAAAGCTTATTTTTTTATTTTACGTGTATGGGTGTCTTGCCTGCATATATGTCTGCTCTCAGAGGCCAGAGAGGGTTCAGGATCCCCTGGAACTGGAGTTACAAATGGTTGTGAGATGCCACCTGGATGCTGGGAATCAAACCCCGGTCCTCTGTAGGGGGACCACTGAAACATTTTTCTTTGGCATATAATTAAACTTTTCATAAAACATTAAAAGTGATAAAAACCACAACTTTGCCCTTTTGAACAAAAGGGTACAGAAACACCTCTAGCAAGAAAAAGACTTAAAGAGTTCATCAGGCCAATAGCTTTCCCTGTTTCCCTCTTTTTCTCCCTCAGCACACTTCAGGCTCTGCCCGTCTGGGTTAGAGCTTTCAGGAGTGCGCAGGTAAAGGCATTCAGCGTGGCGCTGAAGGCCGAGAAGGCAGGAGCACCGCCACTCACTTAGGTGCGGGTGGCAGTGGGCTGGGTGAGGGTGGTGAAATTCCCACCCTAAGGGGCGGGGCGGACGTGAGGAGGGGCGGGGCTATGCTGGGAGGTGGGGCATTCTGAAGCGTGGAGAGAGTGTGTGACTGAGTGAGTGAGCGTGAGTGTGGGGAGGGGCGGGGGCGGGGCTAGACTGGGAGGCGGGGAAACCTGGAACAGTAACTGAAGAGCGGGGGCGGGGCTTCCTCAGGAAGGCGTCCTGGGGGGGAGGAGCACCCGAAGTGGGTGGAGCGGCTCTGTGAGGCTCGAACGGCCCAGGGCTGTCGGGGCGCGAGGGGCGGGGCGAGGGGCGTGGCCTCATGGGGTGCCGGGCGGAGCTGAGCGCCGCTGGGCCGAGCGCCGGTGTCGGTTCCAGGTGGCCGGTAGGAGCCGCGGGGCTCCGCCTCAGCGCTGGGAGCGGCGAGGGCGCCGGCGTCTCGAGAGTCGTGGCGGAGACGCGAGGAAGAGCGCGAGACCCCGGCGGGGACGCCGTGGCGCGCGGCTCAGGTGCGCTTCTCCCTGCGGGCGGGTGACCGTCTCTTTCTGTCGAGGGTCGCGGCGGCCTAGCTGCCTCCTCAGGACGCCTGCGCCGAGGGGGCCTTGAGGTTGGCGTGGGGCGAGGCCGGACCGTGGCCCGTGGTCTCTGCGGGACCCCGTGAGGGGGGAGCGACCCCAGCCTGCCCCTGCCGGCGCTGCTTCGCGAGCCCCAGGTGCTGTCCCCGGGAGGCGAGCTGGGCGAGCAGCCTGGAGTTCAGCTGCAAACTTCTGAGACTCGGTGAAGCGGGCAAGGCTGTGAAAATGACATCTGTCTGTGTTTCGCACACCGCAGTGGGATTTCCACCTCTTCCCCCCCATGATTTTCCTTTAATATAGGGAGATAGAATAGTTAAGTTGTGGGATTGATACCAAGGCAAACAGATTTCTTTAAAGGAAGCACGTACGCTGTCTTGTTTTGCTTTTGTAATTAAACTATTTTGGTTTTCATTGCTGGCAGGCAGTCAATAGAGTTGTGTTTTCCTTTTTTACTGTAACAGAACTTACAACTCCCGTTTTTTCGTACCTGTTTAATAGTCACCTTGGTTAAAACCATTTCTAAATGGACATATTAATAGCATTTGCCTCTGAGATTCGAGATTTGTTTTTATCGTATCCTTTGTAATTTTTTTGTGTAGAGGTTGCTAATGAGCATTTTGCCCTTATAACTAGGAGAGAAACAATTTTTTAATCCTTCACGAAAATTTAAACAGGTCTTGAATTTTGCTTCGTTTGAATTATAACTATTCATGAATATAATTTATCAACGAAGAAATAAACGCAGGCTGAGAGAAAACAAATTTGAGATTATCTTAGGACACCTGACAGTGTTGTCTAGTCATCACTGAGATTTATTGGTATTAGGTTTTTCCGAAACAGGACTCAGAAACCGTGTAAAGGTGTAGCACATTCGAATAAGTACAGAATCAGAAGGGAGAAAGGCTGTGGGAATTAGGAATACTTAAGTGATGTGTAGAGACAACCAAGGAGACTGAGGAGCCTTGAGAAAAAAAAATGAGACATTCTAGGAGACAGTGGGACTTAAGGAGTCAGGAGAGGAGAGTTAGTGAAGTCTTCAAGTGACATGAATCAAATGGATCAGGAAATAAAGTGCCTATTGACTTCAGTAGCTAAGGGAGAGGTTCTTTGCCTTCAGCAAACCTAATTTGAGTTAAATAGTAAGGGCAGAAGCCAAATTTGAATGGATTTGAGTTGTGAATAGAGGATAAAGAAGTAAAAAAATTGGGTGTAGGAATTTATGTTTTGAGAAAGATTTGGAATGGGGACACCAGTGGTTAATTAGAGGGGACCTTATTGTGGATTGGAAAGAATATGAAGACTATAGAATAGCTTTTTGCTGAAATTCATAGTCCTCTCTCAAACCGTGGAAACTGAGAACAAGTAGCTGGTCATAATGAACAGCACTACTTATAAATTGTGAATACTATTTTAGTACTGCATTTTGTATATTGTACTGCATATTGTATATATGATAGCATTTAAGCTACAAATATGAACTATGTCAGACTGTATTTCACTTGAAGTGCAATACTTTGGTACTCCAAAATTGCTTTTAAGTTCTTTGACTTCTTCAGGAATGTCCTAATGATTCTCCTAGATATCTTATGTGGAAATCAGATGTCTTTACTAAATCACAAATGCTGCATACATTAGAACTTTGGGTTTAATATGCATTTAATGGAAAATGCTCTTGTATTAAAATTTCTGTATAATGGGTTTCACTTTGATCTCCATTGGAAGTTTTGTTGTTATTTATTTATTTATTTATTTATTTATTTGTTTTTTTGAGACATGGTTTCTCTGTGGCTCTGGAGGCTGTCCTGGAACTAGCTCTTATAGACCAGGCTGGCCTCAAATTCACAGAGATCCGCCTGCCTCTGCCTCCAGAGTGCTGGGATTAAAGGCATGCGCCACCAACGCCTGGCTTGTTGTTATTTTGAAGTTCAGGCTAGTACTTTAATGACTATATTACTTAGGAGTATGGAAAAGACAGTTCAAAGGGAAAACCTGACTACCAAGTATTATATATGAATCTCTGATAGTTATACTGGTGGGAGTTTAATTTAATGTAATCATTAAGAAAAACCTTTTGACAGTATATAATAAGGTGAAACTGTTTGCCTAAACTGTATGCAAGCAGTTACCCAACAAAATTTAGAAAGTGTAAACATGACAGAAAACATTAAATTATTACAGTGAAAGAAAGTAAGTGGGATGGACTAAAGGTAACCTTTGGGAACACTGGACGTATTAATTTACTGGATTGTGATACTTTCCCCAATATTCATATATGGCTTACATAATTGTGCGTTTTACAAAATGTGCAGTTTGCTTCGGGACAGTTGTACATTGATAAAGTTAGAAAGTAAATAAAAAGAGGAAGAAATAACAGCATTTGATTATAGTTATATTCTTTGATTACTATAGTTATGTTAGGGTGATCAGATTATGAATATTTTTAATTTTAATTTTATATTATATTGTGAATATATAATTGAGAAACCACTTAACATATTCAAAATGACATTAAACATATCTATAGATTTAAGAATAGAGATACTCATATACTTAAGAAATAAGACATAATATATTTAAAGATGTCCTGTGCAGTCTATATTTTTCCTTTTCTTGATTTGTTTACATATGTATGTTGTTTCTAAAAATTGTATTATTTAGTTTCAAGAAAATTCATCCTGTATTATTTATGACTTACTTTTTATACAGGGTGTCATTGTGTAGCTCAGATTGCCCTCAAACTTGCCATTCTCCTGTCTCAGCCTCCCAAGTGAAGGGATTATAGGTATCCACCACCACATCCTGTTGTATGACTTCAACACTTTATATTTGTGATATTTTCCGTAGTCATATGCTATAGATAATTTGCTTTTTATTGTTGTATATAACTCTATTATATGACTTTTCCACTGTTTACCCATAATTTGTTGGTGGATGTTGAGTGTGTACTGTCATCCTTTATTTTTTTACTTTTTGTCAATAAAATTTTTGTGATACACTTCCAGTATAAGTTTCTTTATATCCAATTTCCTTGGCTTTTAAAATCTTAGAGCCATGGGTCTTTATTTTTTCAGGATAGTACTGAGTTAATTTATATGGTGCTTGTATCAGTTATACCATCATAAGTAAGTGTTCTCCTTTTTATTACCATATAAGACATTTATACATTTGTATTTTGCCTGAAATTTTCCTTTTGATGATTTAGTGAGTGAAAAATAATATCCCATTGGGGAGTTTAATTTAACCATTTCTTTATTATGTATTATTTAATTATCAACAATTATTTAATTATTGAAATTTATGTAGTTCTATGGGTTGTCTGTTTATATTCATTTCTTTTTTATCTTCTAGAAGTTCTTTATTTTTGAAATTGATCTTTTATTCAGTAGATAGTTTGTCTCCTTAGTTTGTAGTGTTTTTGAAGAACATACCATATACTTTAATATACCTGTCCATCTTGTAAAAATGTAGTTTTATGCTTTTTGCTGGAAGCTTTAAAATGTTACCTTTCCAAGGTGTATGTATCTCTCAGTTTTTCTGTAACACCTAAAACTACAATAAAATAGTCTGTTAAAAACTGATATTAGAGCCAAAGAGATAGTTTGGAGAGTGAAAATGCTTGTTCTGCAAGTCTTATGACCTGAGTTTTGATCCTTGGCACACAAGGAACACAGGTAGAAAGCTGATGCATTTATAATTCCTGTACTTATATGTGCCTCTTATCTCAGAAAATCTGCCGGTAGCTTGTGGGCCAAGTAACCTAGAGTATAGAGGATAGTTTTTGAAAGAAAGAGACCCTGCCACGAAACAAGATGGAAGGAGAGAACCAACTCTCCAAAAGTTGTTCTTTGACCTCCACAAGCACATGTGTACCCTCATATGCACACACAATAAATAAGTTAATTTTGAAAAATGGTGTCATGCTCAGGAGCCCATTGTAGGAAGCCAGCTAAGCTACATAGTTACTTCAAGACCATCTTAAACTATCAAGTAGCAAGACTTTGCCTTAAAAAAACCATAGCTAGGGGTATAGTTCAGTGGTTAATTGCTTGTTAAGTATATGCAAACCCATGGGTTTCATCCTCAGTACCACAAAAGGGGAAAACAATCCTTTTGTATTTATAGCCTTAACCTATGTGTAATTATTTTCTTGTGTGTATGTGAAGTGTGAGGATCTAGTTTTGTTTCTTTCTTTGCCCCATATGGATAATCATTTATTGAATTCTCTAATTTTCATCCTAGTGATCCCTGTCATGTGTCAAATTTCTGTGTATTTGTATTTTGAAGTTATAGTTTCTTTGAATTGAATTGTTTATATACCCTTACTTTATAGTCTTGCTTTAGTTCTAGAAAGAACCTTGCCACTATGTTTCTTGTAAAACTAGACTTCTCAAATTGTTCTATTTTTTCTTTTTTCCCTTTTAGAAGTAAACTTTTACTTTTTTAAAATAATATATTGCTTTATTTTTAAACAAGTACTGTAATCATCTTAGGTGAGAAAAACAAAACAAGAAAACAAACAAAAACCTAAAGATACTCTAATGTAAAACATTTTGGCTGTAAATCTTGTCCTATTTCACCAAAGCTAATTTTACGTTAGAAATTAAACATGGGAATTTATTTTGGAAACATAGTAAGTTGTAGAAATTTGGAGCAAAATTTTACACTGAAAATAACTAAGAATGCTATATCATAACAAATGGAAATTAAAATGTCAAAAGCTAAGAGAATTCTAGAAATATGAGAGTAAGAAGCTCTATTTGCTTGAAGGTTTTTTTTCTTTACTAGGGAAACTTGATGGTTATGAAATACTTGGGGTATTTGTAGTGCTGAGGGCACTTGGAATCTAGCCAGAGCACCTTGAAGATAAGCTAAGGAGAGAGTTTCTGTCCCTAATTCTAAGATCCCAAAGGGCTGATTTGTTGAGAAAGGAGTGA